AGTCATGTGTCACTGTGACACATCAGTTCATTCATGAAACATAACATCATCTGTATGAGCGGGGTCATCTCCGACCTTTCTGTTGTCATAGGAGTTCTTTGTTCCTTGGTGAAACTGAGCAGCTTTGTGAAGAGCTTTTAAGAAGAAACTCTTTTTAGGGGTAAAATAAGAGCTTCTATGAATGCCACAGAGATAAGGTTCATGACCCCACATTGTAAAAGGGCTGTCTCCCATCGACTAGGTTGATATATTTTTTTTTTCCTTCTTGAAATTTTGTTCATGTGAAACGTTTAAAGCTGGCACAAAATTTTTTAAAAAAAAAAAAAAAAGGAAAAAAAAAAGGAAAACCCAGATTAGATTGCAAAGAGAAGCAACAACAACAAGCATTGTACCCTGTGACCTCTCACGATTTTGTTTGCGCAGCTATCGCAGATTCAACCACTTTGATGAGCTGTCAGGTCGCTTCTGGTTGCGCTCGTGGGCGGGATCAGCAGACTCATTGGACAATCCTGCCTTCACACGCTCCGATGAGTTGCTGCATCTGCGAGCGCTTGACCGCCCCTGCTGTTACCACGACGACACGCTGTCACTGGCTTCCACCTGCCCCAGCCACGGAACACGAATCAACACAATCTACCCCCACAGGTATATAAAGCGCGCGCGCGCGCGCACACACACACACACACACACACAGTTCATTGTCTGACAGTGAGTTGTGTGTTCCAAAATGTGGGAGAGTTTTCAGTGAAAAGCTTCTCTGTTCTCACCAATGCCACTCTTGAAGCTTAAAAACAAGCTTGGTTGACAGTTATCAGTGATGGTCACTGTGGTCACCTTGGAATATTTACATGTTTTAAAGCCAGTAAAGCTAAAACTGTTTCTTACTGACATTTTTTTTTTTTTTGTATTGACAGCATATGGAATATAAGGAATTCTATATTCGGATTCTAAATCCCATGTTACTTTGGACCCTAAGGTCAAACTTTCATAAAATGTATTTTATCTTAAAACTGCTTAAAATTCTTCTGCCTGTGTTTGCATTGGCAGCATTTAGGAAATGATCCTGGTACATGGGGATTGTAAATCTCACATCATAGCTTGCATCCAAATATCACGTAACATTTGACCTCTGACTTCCCTTTTACATTTCAAATCTGCCTTTCTTTCAGTCTTACCCCAAAATGTGTTATAGCTTTAAAGAAATCGTTGTCAAGAGAATGAGCTGCCTAGTAAGAAATACACTGTAATAAAATATTATGTAATCGGCTCAAGTTATTCATGTCCCAGTCAGTCTCCAAATGCTCCAGAATGGCATCAACAGCATATATCCAGGTCAGGTGGGGAATATCAGACTCTAGTAGCCCAATAAATCAATTATTAAAATAAGAAGAAGAAATTGAAACTAATAAATCACCCACCGTATAGATGTTTTGGAGAGGGGACAATCTATTTTTGTAGTGGACATGTTGTTGTTTTTTAAAGGCTGTAAAGCTGGCCATTTTAACATGGATGGGAGTCTGTGGACATTGACTCGCTTTTGGAGCCAGCCTCAAGTTACCATTAGAGAGCATGCAGTATTTGGCACTTCAGCAGAAGTCGCAAATGCCTTCTGTTCGCCACCTCTGCATCTCACTAATACATGGTAGTTTCAATAAAATGTCAGATTTTGATTCATAAGCACAGAGTCCAAATTTCTAGTCAGTTCCTGGAGAGTTAATGTTGAAATGGAGTTTCTAATTAAACTCTGTGAGGCATTAGCGTGAGCTCTAAATGTGTGTGAGGTGCTTTTAATTGACTGTTCCCACAGCAGCTAACGCTAATGAATGTATCATGTGCAGCAGAGGTTTCTCCAAGAAGTAGGATGTTAGGGCATCAATGGACTGGGCCTCCAAAATAATCCAAACTAAACTCACTTCATATAGTTTGGAATAAGTTGAACTGGATAGGAAATGAAATGAACTATCCATAATTAACTGCAGGACTTAACACAACATAATAATTTGTACATAAATGCAAAATACACTTGAGTCTAGTTTAAATGTTAATAAGTAATCTCTCTAAAAACCCACTCATTCAAAGATTTCACTACTCACTTCCCTAACTGTTGCTTAAAATAGCTACTAATTTGAGCTTGAAGTGTTTAAATAATGTAAATAATCCTTTTGCATCCTGTAGTTCCCAGTATGGATGGAGGGGGAGTGAGATGAGCATGGGGGATGGTGTGCTGGACTCGGGTAAGGCCAGTGACCTTTCAGTGTGTAGCTGGCCAGTGGAACCCATTCACTGGACTCCATTTCCACTTCTGCAGCAACTGGCTTCTCACAGGACACCCACAGTGAGTGTGTGACTGTACATGTGGTTTCCATGAGAGTTTCGGTAAGATACAAATGTCTGCGTGGTTTCACAGTTTGAATGATGCGATGTTTCTCTATGAAACCAGGTCAGGGTGTCACGACCACGGTCCTACTGTGAAGGCATGGAGCTTGTAGACATGGGGAAGAGCTGGACTGCTTGACTTGCATATGGAGGATTCAATCTGTTCTGACACTGGTTTTTACAGTTTATTAATGCATTGTAAAGTTAAAATATTTGTGTTTTGTTAATAATTTAAAAAAAAGTAAGGCAGTAAATGTATAAATGTGTACACCTTTCTTTGAAAGATTAAATCTGTTTCTGATGCTGAGATGTTAACTGCATGTCTGTCATGTGTGGTACAAGGTCTTGGAAAATGTTCTACTGTTACTCAGGGCATCAATATATTGTATTTACTTTTGGAATTAAAGCCATCAAAGGATATTTATACTCTACTTACTTTCAATAACAACTGAAGACTTTACACTTACGAATACAATAATAAAATAAAAACACAAAGATGTTCTCACATTTTAGTACAGGCTAATTGATTTAAGTACTAGCTGAAATATTTTTAGTTACCACCCCTGCTTCCAAGGAGCAGGACTTTTTTGTAATTTTTCCAAGTGGTCCTGAACAATAGTTCTCCAGGCTTTCTTCAAAGTTCCTATTTGGACACTGGCTGCTTCCTGACAGGAGAGATGCATCAGGATCTTCACCTGATCCAGTTGATCCATCAGTGGAAAGGTCAAGAAGTCATAGTTAAGGAAAGGAAACTGGGAGAAAAGGGTGAAGTGTGCCTAATTTCATAAGAAGTGTACTGAAAATCAGTGGCAGAAGGTCTGATGAAGGGGTAAATCCAAACTGGAATTTATGTATGGTTTTTTTTGGTTCACATCATTGTCTTTTTATGAAGGAGGTAGGGAGAGCGCTACCACAGTGAGTGTCTACATTAATCTGTAAAACACATTGGAGGCTCTGTCATCATTTGGAGCTGCATTTCAACCAGTGGTGTTGGAGATCTTGTCAGAATTGATGGAATTATGAACACAGAAGAAGTGCTGTCAAATTTAGATCCACCATGCAATACCATCTGGAAAGCATCTAATTGGCAACAAGTTTATTTTTCAGCATGACAGTGATCCAAACACACCTAATACAGTAAATGCATACCTGGGTAGAAAAACACACAATGAAAGATTATGAGTCGGCCTCCCCAGAGGCTGGACCTCAACATTACTGAAGCAGTGTGGGATCATCTTTACAGAGAACAGAACAAAAAGCAGTATAACAGAGAAACAAGAAAGCTTTGAATGTCCTTTAGAAAGCCTCCAGAACTATTCCTGAAGATTACTTAAAGTATGAGAAAGCTTGCCTAAGAGTTCAGACTATGTTGGAGAGTAAGGATTGTCATACAAAGTATTGACTTTCGAGTTCCTTAGAATTGTACAAACTCTGTTTTTGCCTAAACAAAATATAAAGAAATGAGGTGACGCAAGCATAATACTGCATATCATTATTGTTCCTAATCTTGTAGCCCTGTATCTCATCTGTTAGGGGCCTAAAAGAAAGGTTGTGTGTCCCTGTGACTCTAAGATAGGACATAATATTTTAGAATTAAAAATTCAGTAAGCTTAAAGGTTGACAGAAGACTTCGTGCTAATGCCTTACATTATACACATGAGATGCATTGTTATTTCACAGTAATAAATGTGCTATTATTTACTAAATGCGGTTTCTCTCATACCACACATACACGAGCCCTGCCCTCTCAATGCTGTGTATGAAACTCTGCTGAAATGTGACCATTAAACGACTGGAAACATGGTGAAGATTGAAACAGGTATAGTATGCATACTGAGCATACATGGTGCTCACATACAGAAAAAGAGAGTGGCTGAATTGGAGACTTAATGGGAGTTTAAAGGAAGAGGGTGGGGAGAGAAGGGGATGAGTGAGAAGTGGACAGAAGCTACCTGCCAGCTTCTTCCATATACGGTCTTAGTCAGAGCTGGCCTTACCCAGGACTGTGAGTTTCTCTGACTGTGTGAGTGAGCAATGCAGGGAGGGAGTGCCTACATTTGTGTGTTGTAATGCGTGCATGAGGCATGCACGCTGCCTAGTTTTGAAATTGCTCAAGCAAAGGCGTGAGATTGAGAAACTACTGTCTGGATAGAGAACAAAGTTTAAAAGATTATTTTGTAAGATACATTTAATCATTTAAAACTGTGATTGAAACACAAATCGGATAAAGAATACAGAAGAAAATGTGAGCGGTAAAAGACAAACATGGCCTTAAAAAGGGAGATTCATTCATTTCCTCAGAGTGGTCACATGACCGGAGCAGCGCATTCTTCCCCCCATGTGACTCTCTCCAATATCTCCTTATATGGACGTCATCCAAAGGAACTCTTAAAGGGATGGTGGTGCCCTGTGTGTGTGTGTGTGTGTGTGTGTGTGTGTGTGTGTGTGTGTGTGTGTGTGTGTGTGTGTGTGTGCACCTAATTTGCGAGCTACCTAACTCTGGCCCTACGATGCTAATGAAGGAGTTTGCAAGTCTATGGGGCGAGTACGATACCTCTCACACCCCCAACTCCCTCGGCA